GCCCACCTGTCCAAGCCTCAACCCTTAGCATCACCTCTGAGAGCTCCCCCACTCACCCCCATCCAGAAGTCCTAGAAATTCCACCTTATAACTATTTCCTTATCCAGCCCCCATCTCTGGTCCAAAGTCCTTGCCCACAGCGCAGGCCTCACTATCCTTCATGTGGACTCAGGTTTCAGCTCCCTGAACCAGTCTGCCCACCTTCTCACACTTGCCAAAAACACTCCACGTGGCCACCAGAGTTCTTCTCTCAAGTTATTCCAATTTTGCTTCCCCTCTTAAAAGCAACAGCACCCCCCCCACCACCGACTTTCTATATAAAGTCTAACCTGTTTAGGCACTGTATAAACCAGTCCTGGAGCTGGCCCTGGGCTACATTTCCAGTCTCCACCTTCTCACCAGTCCCACCCCGCATTCCAGCCATACCAACCACCGGGATTTCCCTGAACATCCCATGCCTTTCTGCACCTCCACACCTTTTCACACGCAGTTCCTTCTGTGAGAATTGTTGCAGGAGACAGCGGCAGATCTTTCCAAAACTGTTTAGACCTCATGGTCTCTGTGACGTCTTCCTAAGCGCTCTTCCCCACAGGAAGAAAGCTGTCCTGCTCACTCCCATGGCGCCTCTAACCCCACACTTACTATACGGCACAACAATGACTGGTCAACATATCTGTCTCCCACATCGACTAGGAGTTCTTGGATGGCAAGAGCCACACCTTTTTCTTCTGTTTCCCAGCACTAGGTGGAATAATCAGCACATAGCAGACCCTAAATGCGCCCTGAATGAAAGAAATGTTCTGTAGTAAACCCCTTCTCTTGCTGAATTTGAAGATTTAGCCTGTCCTTACTTTGTGCGTAAACTTCTGGCATATATTTGACAACTCTAGCAGAGTGACAAGTGCACCAGACCTATGTTTGAGGGAGGGCTCGGTACATAATAGTGTAACATATTGATGATTATTATGTTTAAAATTACCTCTTTCTTGGCTGCTTCTAGGCCTACCTCCTGGCTTTCTCCTGAATGGCTACGATTAGATAAACGACATACCACTGCATAGGTGGTACATGGACAGAGCGTCCTCCCAGGTCCCTGTACCTGACATGTACTGGGAGCTCATCAGACAATGGCTGGAGGAATAAACTCATGAATCGTATGTCCCTAATTCTTTCTTACAATCTTGGCTGCCCTTCTGAACCTTCTTCCAGATCTCTAAGTTCCCTGGAAGTTATTAAAGACAGAACAAAGTCCTAGAAGCAGCTGAGAGAGAGTCATTTCAAACACAATCCTCACCAATACTTTGGACTTGAGTCATGATTTATGGTTTTCACTGAATCTCACTTCATCCACACAGCAGCCTGGAATACAACAGTAACTGCATCTCACCCAGGGTCACACGGGTCTTGAGCCCAGCCACAAACACAAGTCTGGTGTACTTGTCATTCTACCAGAGTTGTGTCCAATATATGCCATAAACCTGCGCACACAACTGTGTCTTTCATTAACCAAGGAGCTCTGCAGACTAATCATAGCCACGGCTACTCTGCGCATCTTCTTACAAGGGAATACCAGAGTTTGAGGACATCTCTGTTCCCCAGGTAGATGCAGCAAATTAAAAGGGGGTGACAAACAGAGGTAGCTGTGATGCCAAAAGCCAGGAGCAGCTGTCAGATGACAGCCGTTTTGACAGAGATCAAAACCATAAAGAATGAAACCTGATGAACTCAAGTTAGGCCAGCACTCTGAAGCCACTAAGACAACATACCCCGTCACCCCAATGGCCTGGGAAGCCCTCACAGTGATACAAGAATTGAGATGCACAATGGTGACTCTGAGTCATCAAAAGAAATGTCAAGTTAGGAAGGCAAGCAGACATATCGTTGGTTTTAAAAGAGGCTGCAAAAAACATGATAGGATTCTAAGGCTTAAACGGATGTAGCCAACTTGGAAATTTTAGTTAGATGGAATAATCCTTACACCACACAAGATATGTACTGTATACCCACATCTGAGGGCACTTCAAGCCTGACAGATCTAAAATTAGTTCCACCAGTAAGTCAACCTACCAGATCATCTGTAGATGATGCAAGAGAAATTACAGAACACATTTAGGACCTCAAGGGAGAACGTCCTTCTTGTAACAGAGGCAGTGCCTTCCACCCTCCCTGACTGTTCCCACGCAGGACAAACATCCCCCTACACGAGGATACACAAAGAGGAGTCTAAGCCACACACACATGGACACACAAAGCACGGGGGTGCCCCACAGAGACACCCACATCTCCACAACAGTGAAAGCAGGGAGGCTGGGGGAAGCTGAGGAGTAAGACAAAGCAGTGGAAAAACCTGAGGCTGGCTGGATAGGCAACTGCACCCGGTACCAAAGGACTGCAACCCACAGCTGCTGCTGCTGGGTAGTCACTCCGTGAAATGACAGCAGCTCTGACCTTCCGAACACAGTTGCAGCATGGAAAGGGTCTCCAAGGTTTCAGGCAAGGAAGGCCAGAACAGAGGCACCTGAGGGATGCGGCTACAGAGGATCGGCTTCTCTGTACCTCCAATGTGGCTTTGCTGGACTGTACAGGCTTACATGCATGATTTATGAGACACAGCAAAAGTCAAGGGAGACTGAAAGAATCTAGACCACAGGGTGCCTGGGTGGCTCAGTCGGTTAAGCATCTGCCTTCTGCTCAGGTCATGATCTCAGGGTTCCGGGATCGAGTCCCACATCTGGCTCCCTGCCTCTCCCTATTCCTGTCCCTCTGATAAATAAATAAAATCTTTAAAAAAAAAAAAAAAAAAAAAAGGCAGGAGAGGACAGCTCCATGGGGCGGACCGTCCTGCTCTGGGCAGGGAGCAGGAGCCCTGGGAACGCCCTGTCCTGGGCCTGGCTAGCTCAGATGCGCACTCTGCTTCTCCTGGCTCCGCTGGTGTCTACACAGCCTAAGGCTTGCCGCCTTCCGAAACGGTTGGATCAGACTGTCGAGTACTACACCCTGGAAGGGACCCAGAAGCACAACCACAGCAAGAGAATCTGCCTGATTCTGCGGAAGAAACGTTAAGGGAACAAGTCGAAGGGGACGCTACCGAAAGTTCTGAGCATGTGGGGCACCTACAGATGCTAGGAAACGTCCAAAACGTACATCATTGGGCAACTTCACCCGGATGACAGAGCATCCAAGCCTTCGGAAACTCTCATTACTACTGCTGATTCCAATTCCAGCTGGTGGACCAGCTGCGTGATCCCAGCCATCTCAGCACCCGTGGTGGCTCTCATGGGTCACCTCTCCACAGCGGAAGATGAAACACATTCTCAGAAGCCAAAGAAAGAAAAGACTGCTTTGGACCGGGGGGAAAGAAGCCAATGTGAACTGCTTCAATTGACAGAAACCTTCACCTAAAAAATAACTTTAATATACCTGTTTCCCTTTTCTAAGAACACTTCTGTACTTTCTACTCCTAAACTCTTAGAATGTGCCTTTTGATCATCAACTTTTTTAATGTTCCATCCCTACATAATATACTTACTGTAGGCATGATCTTTCAAAAATATATCTGGTTTTTAAGAGGAAAAAAAAAGGAATCTAGCCCACAGAAAAACTCATACAAATGCAACAGGATATTCCCCGAAGCATTACCCGTACAACGGAAAAACCAGAACCAACGTTAAGTGGCCACTAACAGAGGACTGATTTGCTATGAAACACAGCCCTGAAAGTACATGGAAGCCATGAAGCTTTTTTTTAAAACAGCAGATCTCTAAGTAGAAAATGTCACTGGTAAATTCGCAGAAAAAAGAAAAAACTGTAGGATTATATGTTTATTATGATCTTTTTTTTTCTTTTTTTTTTTTTTAATTTGAGAGAGAGAGAAAGCACAAGAAGTGGAGGGTCAGGGGGAGAAGCAGACTCCCTGCTGAGCAGGGAGCCCAATGTGGGACTTGATCCGGGGACTCCAGGATCATGACCTGAGCCGAAGGCAGTCACTTAACCAACTGAGCCACCCAGGCACCCCTATGATCCTATTTTTTAAAAACATCAGAACAAAACTACACTTCTTGAGGGGCACCTGGGTGATCAGTCAGATAAGCATCTGGTTCTTGGTCTATAGCTGTGGTCTTGATCTCAGGGTCATGAGTTCAAGCCCCACACTGGGCTCCATGCTGGGTATGGAGACTACTAATTAATTAATCAATCAGTCAAAAGAAACCAAAACACTACACTTTTTTTTTTTTTTTTTAAAGATTTTACTTAGGGGATGCCTGGGTGGCTCAGTCATTAAGTGTCTGCCTTCGGGTTGGCTCATTTATTATAAATAAATAAAATCTTTTTAAAAAAGATTCTCTTGTCAAAATCTTTTTTAAAAATAAAGATTTTTCTGTCAAATAAAATTTTTTTTAAAAATTAAGATTTTACTTATTTGACAGACACACACACACACACAGAGAAAGGAAACACCAGCAGGGAGAGTGGGAGAGGAAGAAGCAGACTTCCAGCCCAGCTGGGAGCCTGATCCAGGCTCAATCCCAGAACCCCAGGACCACGACTTGAGCCGAAGGCAGATGACCAACAACTGAGCGACGCAGGAGCCCCAAAAACACACTTCTTAAAGGAACGAGAAAAAGTCACAAATGGCCTACAAACTGCTAATGGGCCTCACATGGGAAAACAGGGGAAAGGTAAATTGTTCTTTGTTGTTTTGCTTGTTTTTACACATTGCTACCATCTGAATTTTCACAGGAACCATACACAAATGTAAAAATAATAAGGGGGGCACCTGGCTGACTCAGTCGGTAGAACATTCAACTCTGGATCTCTACCCCATTGGGGGATAGAGATGACTTAAAAGTAAACTCTTTAAAAATACTACTAAAATAAAAACAACAAGAGTGTTTGTCAGAAGCATTCCCTTCCAGCTCCTTCTCCCTGGCTTCCTGGGCTCACATCCCCACCCCTGCGCAGGTGCTCCAGCCCACACCTCCCGTCCCGGCCCCACTCACAGATGCAGGCAGCGGCCAGCAGGCGCCCGGCAGCATACGGGGCGAAGCAGCTCGGGAAGATGGGCTGCACCATATAGTTGGCAAAGGTGATGGCAATGATGGCCTGGCTGGTGGGCTCGATGATGAGGAGTGAGGTCCAGAGTCGGATGAAGGCAAGGAATCCCCCGAAGGCCTCGAGGATGTAGGCATAGCTGGCCCCAGATTTCTTAATGGTGGTGCCCAGTTCCGCATAACAAAGGGCCCCAAAGACAGAGAAGAGGCCCCCGACAGCCCAGATGACCAGGGAGAGGCCGAAGGAGGCACTGTACATGAGGACGCCCTTGGGGGAGACAAAAATGCCCGAGCCAATCATGTTCCCCACAATGAGGCACACGCCATTGAGCAGTGAGATCTCCTTCTTCAGCGTTACCTGCTCAGACCCTGGGCTGGCTTCATCGGCCGAAGGGGGGCCATCCCCCTCCCGCTGGGAGGCCACTTCATACTTAACGCCCTCGGCCATGGCAGAGAAGCAAGTCGTCACCAGCTTCTTGGCATCGCCTTCTAAGGAAGAAAGATAAAAATATAGATCAGGGGCTGGCAATTACGTAGAACTCTTGCCCACAGTGGTCGATATGGGCAATGCCCCCCCCCACCCTGCCGAAGCTCAGAGAGCTCTCTCTGGCCTCCCACCTCCCATTAACCTCCTCTTCTCCAGCTGGCTCATTAAAATAACCCCAACTTAAATTGTTAAGGGAAGGCCCTCACTTCCTAGAGAGAAAACAGCTGTTTCTCCTCATTAGGCTGGGGCTGCCCACCAGATTTACAGAAGAGAAAACTAAATCCTGGTTCTATCTGAATCTGCTGTGACAAAAGGCAAGTTGGCAGTTCCCGGGTATAACCGTCATGATCTGAATCTGCGTTTTTTGGCCTCATCCCCAAACGGGCTGTCTTCCCTCTAATTTCAGCCTCACCTGTCACGTGCGAAGCTGCAACGTGAGGAACCAGCCTTGCAGGCAGCCTTTCTGGGTTCTCCTCACAAACTTCTCTCCTCCCCAAGGACACCGGCTCTAGCAAACCTAAAGGGAGGCCCTGGGGACCTCTTGCTGGAAACCTACAACCCTCCCCCTGCTCAGGGAGCCACTCTTAACCACCCTTAGGTGAAGTCAGCAGCCCAAGCAGTACCAAGCAGTACCGGCAACCCCCCAACCCACCCTGGAAGAAAGACGACAGATTAGTCTCTTTTCCTTGCTTTTCCTTCCCAGACCTCTTTCCCGGGCCCCTGGTCTTCCAGGCCTCCTGCTGTCAACTTCCTCACATTAACAGAGACGCATCACCCAAAAGATTATGAATGAGAGAAGGGTGATCCAAAGGGACAGCCCAACCCCGAGGTGACTGGAGGCAGCTGATAACAGCTCCCCACGCAGGAGCTGCAGCTGGAGAGTTGGCACCCAAAGCCGCAAAGGCACCCAAAGACGCAAAGCCGAGGCAAGGAAGCCGCTGAAGTGTCCACAGGTGTCGGCCCCACCCAGCAGAGCAGCAGGGAGGGAGAGAGAGAGGGGCCCTCGGGCCCTGCCAAGGGAGAGTTCTAGCGCCAGAGCCCCCAGGCGAGGAAGTCTTTGGTCAAGGCAGAGCAGCACAGCAGGTGGGCGAGGTGGGCCAGGCAGAGGGGAATGGGGGAGGAGGGAAGCACACTCACACCCTGGGCCCAGGTTCTAGCAGGTTCCCCTGGGCAGCAGCCACAAAGACACAGCCTCTGGGAAGTGTGGCTTGACCGCTCCTCCTCTTCAGCCAACAGTAAAAGGAAAGGCCAGGCGCAATGCTTATGGATTTAAATCAAATCGAGAAGTCAAGATGGGTGGAGGGGGAGAGGGAGGGGGAGAGGGAGGGGGAAAGGAGGGTTAAGCAACTGTCTGGGTCCAAGGTTCACGGGCCCTTCACATCTGCAAAAGGGGCAGCTAGGAGCTCCTGGCTCAGCACTTTCCGTGATAAGAAGGCACTCTCTCAGGAATCTCCTTTGTCAGCGCAGCTCGGGACTGACGGCCCAGAAGAAAGGACGGTCGCTGGGTGCCATTTCTGCAGCCCCGGGTAGCTGGCCCTCAGGCGATGAGCAGAGGACTGGGCTGGTGGCTAAGAAGGAACAGCCCTCCATCCTCCGGGCCCCACCCTAGCCCCGCTCCCCTCTCACCGCCCTAGGAGAAAAGCAGGGAGGTGGCAAGAGTGCCACAAAGGCCTGTTGCTGTGCTGAGATTAGAGGAAGTGTAAGTGCAGTCCCCACAGTCGGTGGCCTCGTGACGGGTGTCCTAAGAGAGGAACTCTGCACACTTCCCCTCGGGGGGCCCCCAAATTTGAGCCATGACCCCAAGGCTGAGCGTCAAGCTATGTCCAAGGAAACAAGGTCAAGAAATGAGACTCCAACCCCTGGCTGCATCCCCTCCCTACTCCTGTGTCCTTTCATCCTCAAAGGAAACCATCAATTCTTATAAACACCTTCACCACATACAAGTTTAGTCCAATTTCCTAAACATATGGAGAATTAAGATTTCACTGAGCTATCCTGGACAGACAAGCCCAGAACAGACAGAGAAAGTTAAGCACTTTTTTGGAAATCCAATATTCTATCTTCAGTCTACTTCAATCTGGTATTCTGGGTCTCTTTCACCAACAGAAATACACCCTATCCATTCTGAAATCTGTCAGTCCCTTCCCACACTCCTTCTAACCCTACAACCTGAGAATGAAGTTCTAAAAATCCCCCGGGGTGGGGGGACTTATCTCTACCCTGTATCTTTGCATTAAAGACCCTTAGATTTTTTTTTCTTTCTTTCTTTTTTTTTTTTTTAACAGAGAGGCATATCCTGGTGTCAGCCTTCCCAGAGATCATACTTCTCCCAAGCCATCCTCACAAACATCTGGAAATCCCTCCAGAGGAGCCTGTCCGTGTCTTCCAGCTGCCTCCCTCCATGCTCCTATAACGATAGCTGTCTTTTATGGAGCACTTACCCGGTGCCAGACATATCACTAAGCACCCAAATGCCTTATCTCAGCCAACCTTGCCTGTGACCCAGTGCCAGGATGCCAAACTAGCGAGGGAGGTGGGCAGGCTCTCCAGCAGAGAGCGGAAAAAAACGGCCCGGTGCTATAACTCCCCCGCGGCGCACAGCTCCCACCCGCTCCGACCTGCTCAGACCTGCCCCACCGCCAGGCCTAGCCCTCAGACAAGAAAACACTTCAGATGGCTCCCTCCTGAATTACCTGGGGGAGGGTGTGATTAGATTAAACAGAAAGCCTCTGCCATCCTTTAGCCTGCAGGCTAGGCTCAAGACTCGAAAAAAGCCGGTCCATCTCCTTCCCGGCTGCTCCTCCCCTTTCTCATCCGTCTGCACGGATGAGAGGCAATCACCCAAGTCCTCTTGGCAGCGACGCTATTGCTAGGGTGCCCACTGCTTAGCAAACAAAAACACACGGAAACACATCATCCCGCCTGCCATTTTAAGACCACATTTACTGGCACCAAGGGGTGGACGGATGTCCTAATGGAACATAAAAGCAAGAAATGAAGGATGGACGAAGGAAGGGGACCCCGTGGGGAGGGTGGGGAAGAAGCGTGCAGGGTTCAGTCCCCCGCTGCGGGAAAGCGAAGTCCACATCAGGGAACCTTGAGACGGAAACCCACGGGGAGGGAGCGGGGTGGGGCGGGGGAGGGCTGTGAAACCCACACTCCAGCAGACAGCACACCCTAGCGGCCTCTCCAGGAAGTGCTGCCAGTGGAATCTCCTTAGCCTGCTCAGTCTACACAAACGACAGAGGCGGTAGTCCTTCAGAGAAAAGATGCGCCCTCCTTCCTCAACCACGGCTTAGCACCGGAGGCTGTGGGCAGGAAGGCACCGTCTTTGGCAGCTCACGTTCCTCCCGGAGACTCTGGCTCTCAGGCAATGCTTCCACCATTCAGGGAGCCTGGGACCAGGAGGACCTCTCCCAGGGGACTCTCCCACCCCTGGCTTTACGGGAGAAACTTCTGGAGTCTGGAACCCTAGAAGATAGCAGCATTCCTGATACACAGCACCCCGTGTTTTCTTCCTGCCTGAGATGCATTCAACTCTGAGGACCTAGTGGAGGTTACAGGACAACACACTCATCCTACAGCCTACGGGTGAAGTTTCAGATTCAGGGGTTCAAAGAACACAGGCACAGGGCCCCCAGTGTGCCATGCCCAGGACAACAGCCACTGAAGCCCCTGCCCCCAAACCCACCCATGAATGGCAACGCCAAAGCATACTTCCTCCAGGAACCAGCCTGAAGTCCAGGGTCTTGGCTCCTGGGTCAAGCTCAAGTGCTAAATGTGAGAAGCCACTTTACCCCCCACATACCCCATGTCCTGCCTTCCTAGCTCCAACTGGCCTGTGCTGCCTCCCCTAACAACAGAAACAGAAAACACTTACACTGTGGTTCAGCTGGATGCCCCCATCACCCCAAGCTGGAAGCTCAGCTCCTCCCTGCCCAGTTCTCCATTTGTTTTTCTATATTCCACTGTGGCTACGATAGCCCCTTAAAAAAAAAAAAAAAAAAGTGAAACAAGAAATCGTTTACTCCTGTGGCCAGGGCTCCCATTAGCGTAGGGCTGAAGCTTCTGGGCAGAGGGCTCTGCCTGGGGAGAGCCGGGACTAGGACTGCGACCGAGATACAACAGGCTCTTGAGTCTCCAGTGAGCCAGTTTTCAGGACGCTCACTACATCCTTCTCCAGCACTTCCCCTCTCGCCCATAGTCCCTCCTCTCCCACCTCTTACCTGTCCCGTGACCTTTGGGCAGGTGCGAGGAGGAGGGGCTACCAGCACCCTGGGGGGTGGGGGAGGGGAAGGTGCTAGGAAGGGAAGCCGGCTAAGGCTCGAGCAGCAGCGGCTGTTGACTCCGAGGAGCAGAAAAGGCAGAGGGTGACGGGGACAGAAATGGAAAACAGGAAAACACATGTGTGACTCTGGCCGGCAGCGGGGAGGGGCCAGGGGATGGGCTGGAGCTGGGACTGCCTGGTCAGACCCAGAGGACCTCGTCGCCTGCCCTCCTCTAGGCACCTTCTCTACCCAGTCTCAGCAGCTCCTGTTCCCCTACCTCAGCCCCAATCTTCCTTGTTGCCCTGCGTTTCCTAAGCACTAAAGCTCTCCCAGCGACTGACAGTGCCCTCCTATTCGCCTGTTCCCCTCATTCTGTCTCCTACTCATCTCCCACTCACATACTATCCTTGGTCCTGCGGAGGGCATCAGCTCCATCGTTAGGGCTCTGGAACTCAGCCCCTATGGCAGGCAACACATGCCAAGAAGACCTCTTGTGTGAGTACAGCCAGATGCCGCAGCACAAGCCCACTCACAGCTCAGGTCCCCAGTTGGTTCAGGGGAGGCACATGCCGCCGAAGAGCCAGCTCTGGCACCTTGGGCAAGCTAATGAGTTGGCACCCCTTCAAACCAGGATCCTTGAAATATCTGTTGAATGTCGACTTAGCGGAGGTGGAGGAATACCGATTTTCTTGGAATCAAAACAGGAAGACTCATTCTTCCTATTCAAAAGGAGAGCTTATTCTATGAATTCATTACATTCATTATATACAACTTTCTGAAGTAGTTTCTCAGTGCGCATGTTAAACCACTTAAACTGCAGACAAGAGGGGTGCCTGGGTGCCTCAGTCTGAAGCGTCAGCCTTTGGCTCAGGTCATGATCAGGCTCCCTGCTCAGCAGGAAGCCTGCTTCTCCCTCTCCCACTACCCCCACTTCCAACCCCGCTTGTGCTCCCTCTCTGGCTGTGTCTCTCTCTCTGTAAAATAAATAAATAAAATCTTTTAAAAATAAAAATAAAAATAAATCACAGACAAGAGCATAAATGTCTCAGGAAATGTCTCTGGGGGAATGGCACTTCACGGTGCATGGGGCATTTTCAGAATTCCAGCTGTGACTCCTGCCTCCCTACAACTACCCGCTGGCCAGTCTCAGGGCTGCACCCTGCAACTCAGACCTGTACCTGCGTGTTGCAAAATTATCCTAGAGACAGACAGTCCAGGTAAGCAGTCGTCAAGAGTTCTGTCTGCGGATGGGAGCCAACTTAACCACTCACCTAGAGACAGAAATAGGAGTTCATTGGCACCAAACGTCTGAATTCCTCCAAGGATCACTTAGTGCCTTTTTACACCCAGGCCACTGCCCAGATGGCCTGCCCCTTCATTCCCCTCTTGGGTCAGGCCCACGATGTACAGGAGGGAAGTCCTGGGATGACCACCCTAACATGGTCCCCTTGACATGGCGCCTGCACTGTCATTCCACTCAAGCACCCTGGCCACCTCCTTGCTGTCACCACACAACATAAATGCTTGGCGACATTGTTCATCCCTTCACTCACTCCATCCAGGACTGTGCTTAAACACCACACTACCATAGGCCTTCCCTGAGGAGTCTCTGAAGGGGCAACTTCTTCCTTCTTCATTCATTCAGCATTCTAGACTTTTCTGCAAGGGCACCACCATTCAGAGCTCATTGTTCTGTTGGTTGTCATCTCCCTCACTAGAATGCAAGCCCCACCAGAGCGCTTGCTCTTCATCCTGTGTCCCCAGGGCAGAGCACATGCACAGAGTCAAGAAAAATTGCTGGAAGAATAAATGAATGAATGAATGAACGAACGAACGAACAACGCTGTTCCCGCTAGACTGACTTCCCAGGAGCCTGGGCTCTGGGAACCTCCTTGAACTTGCCCTTCTGGCCCA